CTAAGACCCTCAAACTCATCACCATGATCCAAAATTAAGGTTTTCTTCACGTTATCTTTATTTATCTGCTGTCATGCTGAAGTATAATATGTTTTCTTGCACCGCAAATTATTTTGGAATAGAAACTGCCTTCAAGTTATATGTACGATGCCATGTCAAAAGAAAATAAATATCCGCTCTCTGGTAATTCATTTCATTTCATTTTGTAACTCCAGCGCAGCGTTTTTCAACCGGGGTGCCGCAAGAGAATGCTAGTTACATTTGGAAAACATTTATTATGTGAAAAACAAATATCAGGAACGGTTAGAGTATGTAATCACATGAGAAAATATAATTTTAAAGATAAAGTGTCTTTCTTCCTCGCTCGCTGACAATATTTCGACAGCAAGGCACCCGAATATCTATTATATCTTTTATTTCGAGATTACATTGTTACCACACCCCATTTCATTTAAAAAAAACATGATAAATAAGGGCAACGAGAGGCCAGAATATCCTCATATTCGTGTATGAAGGTCATGACCGAATATATCACTTTTTATTCATGTACATTCGGCGGCAAAGTGCCCGCATATAGTACTTTAAATCGTAGTGTGTTGATTACAAACTAATTTTTTACCAGTTTGATTTTTTTTCTCCTTTTTTATTCTCAAATGTGCCCATCCGTGTGTACATCCCAATAAACAAAATCACGTGAAAAGCACGTCAATATCAAGGTATCGACTTGAGGAGAGTTACGTTCTTCAAACACCGGACATTTACGTAAATGTGTTAATACGTTTATTGCACTAAAACACACGTACACTAAAATCACGCAATTGTCACTGCAATATCATCATTACAATAACGTGATTATCCCTACCTTGGAGACCGAGGTTTGTAAACCTAATACTCCCGTGTTTATTTGGTTATGAAATTACATCTTCATAAACGAAATTATCGCGTCACAGAAACACGTGAAGCGTTAGTGATAGCTTTTGTCAAAATATCTGCGTGAAATTCACGTGAATATTACAAGGCTGACTTGAAATGAATCATGTTCTTCCTTCAAGTGAAATTTACGTCGAAGAGGAAATATGTTACTGTAACCCGCGTTCAACCCAATAATTACGCAAATGCACACAATAAATGAACCAAAATAATGACGTTCTCATCCCGTTTCTGAACATCGTGTTTTGGATCTTCCATAATTACGTCCAGGCGCGCCGGAAGCAGTTTGGGATTAGAGGGAGTGGGGGGGGGGGGGTGTGCAAACATCCCAGAAGAGAAAGCTAGTTGCAACTGGTCCAGTTGATGAACCAGTTAATGCCAATTGGTAACCCCGGAAATTGAAATGGGCTAAATGATCCAGTTGATCCAGGCCAGTTAGAATTCAACTGGTCTAGCTGAGCCATTAGAACCATTTGGTAAAACTTCCAACCAGTAAAACGGCAACAACACTTCAATACTGGTACGTCTGTATTTTCAATGTAAAGGCATTGGTAATAAGTAGACTTACATAATTCAATTAATCGATTTTTTTTTCTTCATATAATTGTATTTTATTGAAATTATTTTAGTTCATAGCTTATCTTTCCCTTATTCATGTTAAATTAAATGTAATGTAAACGAAGTAGCGACATGTCCTAATAACTGGTAATTTGTATTTGTAGTATTTTCGAAATGAATTGCATATAACTAAATCATCATTAATTAAGAAATATGCTGTAAATTCAGATAAATTGTTTAAAAAACATAGATCTGCACGCACCCCATATTCAATATGCAAATTAATTGGTGTCAGCTGGTTCAACTGGAAATATGTCAACAGTCAGTCATCAAATGGTGCAACTGGAAATATGCACACAGACCAGTTATCAACTGGTGCAATGAAAAGATGCTAACAGTCAGTTATCAACTGGTGAAAATAGAAATATGCCAACAGTCACGGGATTATCACCACGGAACTTAAATGGTAACTGTAAAACCATCAAGACACCCAAGAATAACTCATTTTTCACAACTGGAAATCACGGAATACCAAGCTTATATTAATAATCCGTTTGAGTCACGAGAGCATCACCACGGAACTGCTGGCAACTTTGACTACCATATAAATAGGTGTTTTAAGACACCTAATAATGACTAATTTTTCACACCTAAAAGTCACTGATGCCCAGCTTAGATTAATAATCCGTTTGAGTCACGAGATCATCACCGCGGAACTGCTGGCAACTTTGACTACCATGTAAATAGGTTTTTTAAGACACCTAATAATGACTAATTTTTCACACCTAAATATCACGGATTCACAGCTAAGATTAGTAATCAGTTTTAGCTACGTGATCATCACCAAGAAAGTTATGTTAACTTTGAAACCATTTAAAAAGGTGTTTAAGACACCTAATAATTACTAATTTTTCACACCTAAATATCACGGATTTACAGCTTAGATTATTAATCAGTTTTAGCTACGTGATCATCACCAAGAAAGTTATGGTAACTTTGAAACCATTGAAAAAGGTGTTTTAAGACACCTAATAATAGAGTAGAAAAACTTGGCATACCATCACCATACAGAAGCCATCACGAGGCCCCTGGCCTGCGTGGACGGCATAAGTCAAGTCAAGTCAATTACTAATTTTTCACACATAAATATCACGGATTCACAGCTTAGATTAATAATCACTTTTAGCTACGTGATCATCACCAAGAAAGTTATGGTAACTTTGAAACCATTTAAAGAGGTGTGTCAGACACCTCAGAATTACGAATTTAATATAACCAGAGATTCACGGACAGAACAATAAGACGATTAGCCGGTGTAAGTAACGTGTTTATTACCATCAACCTTGGATAACCTGTGAAAACAATCGATAAAGCTGCTTACAAGACCAAATAATTACTTATTTATCACCACCATCGGTTAACGGACAAAAAACTCGTTGCTTGGTCAAGTTGTTATTTGGTCATAAACACTTGATTTACAGAGGTAAGTGGAATCACGTTACTCCAGTCGCGTGATAAATTGGTGGTTTTTTAGGTTAGATGAAAACGTGAACAGGAGTACCTTTTTTTTTTAATGAAGGCACGTGTAGATAACGTCTAAATCTAGTTCAAAAGGCACCATACTTTAAAATCACTTAAAATACACTCCCAAAAGAGGTTACTTTTTAGTGTTTTGTTTATTGGGATAGCACTAGACGAGTGCCAGAGTCATGCAAAATAAATAGTCTGTGAAGACTTTGGGATTTGGGAGAAACCGTGACTAACAAAAAGTTAAAATAACGCTGCTCCATAGAAATGTATTTCATTTTGAGAAGCGCTTGTCAATGATCTAAAACGTACATCCTTCGTGGAAATCAGTAACCGCACTGCCGTTGCATAAATTATAATTAAAGGGAAATGTGTAGTAATGAGGAAGATAACGTGCTATAGTATTTGAACGAATATGGGTTCATGCATTGGATCTTAAGGCCTCGTAGCCATCTCTCAATGTGTCAGATCGTATTTAGCTATTGAATCATGATTGTCCACGGGGGGAAGTTGTCCTTGGGGGTAATTGTCCTCAGGGGCTGTAATTGCCATCGGGGGGGGGGGGAATTCTCCGGGAAATAACTTTCCGGAGGGTAATTGTCCTTGGGGGGTAATTGTCCTCGGGGGGTAATTCTTCGGGGTGATTTTCTGGGGGGTAATTGTCCTCGGGGGTTATTGTCCGGGGGGTAATTTTGCGAAGGGTAATTTTGCGGGGGGGGGAGAATTGTCCTTGGGGGTAATTGTCCTAGAGCCGGTTAGGACTGGTGCGGCAGTTGGTGAATGTTTATTAGCTAGTTAGGAGTTGCACGACAGTTGCTGAATGCTTACTGGCCTGTTCGGAGTTGCACAGCAGTTGCTGAATGCTCATTGGCTAGTTAGTCGCTGCAGGGTGGTTGCTGAATGTTAACTGGCTGATAAGGACTGGTAGAGCAGTTGCTGAATGCTCATTTCCTTGTCGGGAGTTGTAGGACCATTTCTAAATGCTCAGGGACTAAAGACTAAAGACTAAAAGCCTAATAACGACTTGCAGGGTTGTGTTGCTGAATGACCACATGGCAAGTTACGTATGTCAGGGTGGTTACTGAACGCTCAATAGCTGATTAGTACTAAAGGACCGTTACTAAATGCCCATTTTCTAAGAAAGACTTGTAGGATAGTTGCTGAATGCACACAAGCTGATTAGCATCATTAGGTCTGGTGGGGTGGTCGCTGATTGCTGACTGGCTGCTTAGGTCTGGTGGCCGGGTTAGTTGCTGAATGCTCTTTGGCTGAATAACTGTTGGGGGTGGTGACCCTCCATCTGCTGATGAAGTGGTTGCTCCCACTGGAATACCCATGGAGGCATACAGTGTGTCTGGATCGTAGTAAGGGTACTGCGGTGCATACAGGACACTGCCAAAAGTACTTTTCTCGCCTGAAACCTCCTGTGGCCCACCAACAGCAGCTTTACACGTTAGACGTGGTGGCAAACATCCATCTATACAATGAAGCATAGTTGGAAGAAATTAAACACACATTGCTATCATTTATACTTTGACAGTCAAATTCTAACATGAACTAAATTAAGTGTGCATAACATTGGTTGAAATTTAATTGTTAATAAGTCTTGAACCTTGCCAGTAGATTTCGCATACAAGTTTAAACTAGAAGCAAAATAATTACGTTCACGTTTAAACATTGCAATGGGACTTGCTTCAAATTCTGTTTAAATTGACTTGAAAATTGTCCATATTTCTGATACATAACTCCCAAATTGATTCGAACCATCATGAAATCAACTGATCTGAAAATACATAATTGTTCAAAATGTAAAAGTTACTTTCAAAATATATTCTAAAGGAATACAACATGATGTTTAGGATGCATTAAATGAATCATAAATGTATCAGTAATGTATCATATTGTATCATAATGTATTAGAAATTGAAGAGGAAAAAAGACACACAAGGTATCGTTTTATCATTTATACCAATTCTTACCCTCTTCACCAGATATTCCTCCTAGTGGGGGGTATCCAGATGGCCCAGCCCCTGGTAGAGGCAATCTTGGATGTCCGGGTGGATGGTATCCCTGATGCCTTGGTAGGGTGTCCTGGGCTGGCCAGGTTGGGGATACCCTTGTGGCGGTGGAGGTGTTCCAGGTTGTCCTGGTGGCAGATAGCCCTGTTGCCCATGTGGAGGGTATCCCGGTTGCCCTGGTGGGGATGACACACGTTGGCCATGTGGGGGATACTCTTGTCCCAGTGGGGGCGCTCCAGGCTGTTCTGGTGGGGGATAGCCATGTTGCCCCTGTAGAGGGTATCTCTGTTGCCCCTCTGGAGGGAATCCTGGCTGCCCTGGTGGGGATGCCCCAGGCTGGCCAGGTGGGGGTGCTCCAGGTTGTCCTGGTGGGGGATAGCCCTGTTGCCCCTGTGGAGGGTATCCCTGCCACCTTGGTGGAGGTGCTCCAGGCTGGCCAGTTGGGGGTGTTCCAGGTTGTCCTGGTGGGGGAAAGCCATGTTGCCCTTGTGGAGGGTATCCCGGTCGCCCTGGTGGGGATGCCCCAGGCTGGCCAGGTGGGGTTGTTCCAGGTTGTCCTGGTGGGGGGTAGCCCTGTTGCCCCTGTGGAGGGTATCCCTGCAGCCTTGGTGGAGGTGCTCCAGGCTGGCCAGTTTGGGGTGCTCCAGGTTGTCCTGGTGGGGGATAGCCATGTTGCCCCTGTGGGGGCAATCCTGGATGTTCGGGTAGAGAGTATCCCTGTCGCCTTTGGGGTGCCCTAGACTGGCCAGTTGGGGGATACCCTTGTCCCGGTGGGGGTTCTCCAGGTTGTCCTGGTGAAGGATAGTCCTGCTGCCCCTGTGTAGAGTATCCCGGTTGCCTTGGTGGGGATGCCCCAGGATGGCCAGGTGGGTGATACTCTTGTCCCAAAGGGGGTGCTTCAGGTTGTCCTGGTTGAGAATATCCATGTTGCCCCTCTTGAGGAAATCCTGGCTGCGCTCCTGTTGGTGTCCCATGCTGACATGGTATTGATTGCACCGCAAATGGGTTTTGAGAAGGATCCTTTAGGATGTGCTGGAAGGCTGGAATTGTGCCAATCCCAACTGGAAGATTCACATGAGCATTCTTAGGTGTTCCAGAAACATCTCCCTTAATCTGGTTTTCGAGAATAGAACAAGAAGAATTTTGTATTTGTCTGATTCATTTCAAACTTCAGCCATTCTGTTTCTTTCAACTGAACTTGTTACAAGGGTCGGATTGCCTTTTAAATGAAGATTTCTTCAGATAGTACAGGACATAAAATATACAAGGCGCTATATCAAATATCTTTTGGATGGGATTGGATTGGATACATGTACATGTACATTTAGGCTATTGGGGTTGCTTACATGACAATGCCCTCGCGATGACAGTAGCCAGGTAAAATGAATATAAACATTAAGTTCAACTTCTACATGTATAGTTCAAGTTCAAGTGACACAGAATGACATTCACAAAGGACTATCAACCTCTTCACATTCTTACCTCAACATAATACTCTACTTGAATGTTTGGACAGTTCTCGTAAGCGCAGGGAGGGATAGGAGGGATCAACATCTTCACCCTGTCGTAGTTCACTGACCCCATGGCTTCACACCCAGCTAGCTTCAGTTCAGCCACTGTCTTGACCGACTGCCTGTGGTGAGTTATGCCGGTGTCGTGGCATTGGGCAGTGAAATGTGCACTCTGCAATTAATTGATGGAAAGACACAGAAAGTACTACATTGTATTATCAGAGGTTGGAACAGACGTGAACCAAAAATTGTTCAAACTATCAACACATAATAAAAATGTGGATGAACATTAACTCGTTAGGCTGTGACTTTCTATAAAGGTGAAATCTAACCTTGATTTAGTTAATATTTGGTATTATCTACACCCGTGTGTAGGAGACGAAAAACAAACATTGTGCTTACATGTACATGTGCATGCCGAACCCTTGGGTCCCTCCTCCTCAGTGGTCGAACTGATAATTGTATTTGATATTAATATTATCCACCCTCAGTACCACTGAAAGAGTCCAAACATCCTCTAGCCTCGAGTACCTATATATTTCGGAAGGTACAGTTGTGCAGATAGTTCTCGTTAAAGCCCTTACTGATGTACTGTAACAAATGAAAGTCTTTGAAGCAATGCTATTGGTTTTCAATCATGTAAATGTACCAGGTACCGTGGCCGCTTGAGGATGAGATCCAGTCACTTTTCCAGAAGTTGGAGCATATAGACAAGCACTTCTCCAGATAAAGAACAATAGAGTATGTCTGTGACACAGACCTACTCGATTGTTCTTGCACTCATGAAAAAATGAACTCTGGTTATAATAACTGGAAGCTCTATTGCGCACTCATGTAAGCCTGCAACAACTCCTGATACTGTATCACTGACAGCTAATTACAGAATGCGTATAACAAATACTTTCAAATGGTCGTTTATATTATGTGCATAATATTCTTCTATGTTTATGTTTCTTGTGCTTCGACTTGCCTGTTGCAGTTTTGCAGTGATGTCAATGATCCTCCTAGAACTGTTGTTGTGAAGATCCAATGAAACAAAGATGTACTCTCCTGATACATACCCTCTCTTGTCAATCATTCCTTTTAGAAAAATAGGTCGTGAAGTACAGCAAAGACAGCATACTGTCTTCTCAACTTGGCGAATAGCAGGAACCTAAGTATACAGCAAAACATAAAAACAAAGATATGTATTCACATGGACATAGCCTATCTTGTCCAAATTGCCCTACAGAACAATGAGTCCTAACGCGCAGCAGAGATAGCATACTGTCTTCTTAACTTGGTGACTAGGAGTCACATATCAATCAAAAGCATTAAAACAGAGATATACATGTCACATCATTTTGTGTGTGTAGCCTCTAAAGAGCCTACAATGAGGCATTTACTGTAGCAAGTTTTGTTGGCGAGTCCCTTAAAGGAAACCTCACCTCAAAGAATAAGTGCAGGTATTCTGAAAAATGGGATGTATTCCTGCCCTTTGATGTACAATATTCGTGTTCTAGATGGGTATTGAAGTAAAGTCAGCTTGGTTGCCAGCTTGGCAACCTTGGGCAACTTTTTTAATAGCCATATTAGCAACATCAACTAATTAGCATATGTGCAATATGTAATAATGTTGCTAATCTCAATCCAGGAAGCCTGAAAACATGGATAATGGGACAACTTCCTTTTTTGAGAGAAAATTTTCCATACATGTAATCTTATTAACCCATCCCCCCCCCCCCCCCACACACACACACAAAAAATCATGAAATCGGTGAAATCTTCCTCTTCAGCGAGATAATATTGCTTAATTTAAAAAAAAAAAAAACCTTTTGAATTGTCCACAAAGAAATTTCCACAGCTAGTAAACGGCTAACCCCTTGCTGTTTCTCATCCAGAAAACAAGGGACCCCAAACTTACCAATACATTTAACTCGTAGTTCAGATCCTTCACACTGCAGATGCTGAATATCCTCATAGTGTGATGGTCAAATTTACCCGGTCGGTCGATGGTAACCTTGACGTAGTACCTCACATGCCCATAAGAATCTTCAAATGGCGGAGGCAGAGTCATATTTGGGATCTGGAACTGGAAGGTAAATCGATGCTCCCCGGCAGTCAGCGTGATTCGGTCTGTTTCTGGAGAAGAGAGAATATTCATCAATATCAATATTCAAAACGGGACCAATCACAGAAACAAAAACAAATATGTATAAAGAATACATCTCTGACATGCTTCTACCTATATGTATATTAATTGATCAATTATCATGTGACCTTCAACATCAGACTTCAAGAATTCAAATGCTTTACTTTCTTGATGCCAATTTGGTCGACAATGGTGCAATATTTAGTTGAATACAGTGCCGAAGTGTGACGTCATATACTGCCAAAGTTGTCAAGGCTGCTGGTTCCAAACAATTTTGTGCTTAAAACAATGATGTGGTGATCACACCAGCGCCATACACCGAATTCGCCCTGCTCCAGCCCGTTGCTTGAATGGTTTCTCGGTGGACTTCTTGTTCAGACTCTGTTGTTTGTAACCAGTAACCTAGGCGACGAGCGGATATTGCGGAAAGCCCCCATGACACCAAACTAGTTCTCACTACGTTCTGGAACCGTCCTAGATAATCGTAAAACGGGTTGTGGTCGGAGCAGAATGTGTAAAAAATGTCTATAATACGATCCTAGTTCGTTAGTAAACAATCCTAAATACGTCTCGTTTGTTCCCCGTCCACAGCCAGTTCATATTAAGTTCAGATCGGGTAGATTAGGCAGTCCAAGCCAGTACGTAGTCAGTTTAAACACATTATTAACTAGTTCTACCTCGTTCCCAATACGTCCAAACCCATTCTAACTAGTTCGCCACTTGTTCTTACTAGTTTTTAACCCGACCACCCCGTTCAGAGGCAATTCAACTCTTCCTCATCTCGTTCTGAGTGCGTTCGAACGCGCTCCTAGAGCGTGTGTAATCCCGTTCTGACTCGGGCGTTATAAAAACCCAGAGCGTTCTCGCCATTCCTCATTCCCGTTCAACTTCAACGCTTTTAGGCTTTGCAGATCAAGACGTTCAAGTCAAGCACTTATCACACCAAACTAGTTCTCACTACGTTCTGGAAAATGTTGCCAAACGGGCTCAAACTGTGTATGAACGGAGTGAACGTATTGGCAACGTACTATTTGCGATCTTTTCAGGGACTTCATGGACGGGCTCGGACTGGCTTGGACGGGAAGGGTGGTCTTGAACTTTGAGCCTGTTCAAAATTCTCCCCGTCCTGCAATTGGACGGAGTGACAACGAACGGATTTGCCGTACTATGAACGGAATTGTCGTACTTCGATCCTACTAGGAATGTTTTACCACGTGATGTGGTCGAGCATCAATGAGGAAGAACGCGCTGGATTTGTATAGCCCTCGAACCAGGACGGGGTTGTAAAGCACGATAGAAGCGCGTTCGGACGCACTAAGAACAAGACGATGACGAGTTGAACTGTCTCTGAACGGGGTGGTTGGGTTAGTTAGAACAAGTTCCGAACTAGTAAAAATTGTTTGGACTGCTTGGAAATATCAAATTGATCCGATCTGAACTGGATATGAACTGACTGTGGACGGGTACAGACGAGTTGGACGTATTGTGGACTGTTAATGAACGAACTAGGATCGTATTAGAGACATTAGTCCAGTCCGAGCCCGTCCATAAAGTCCTTAAACAGGTCGCAAACAGTTGCTATTACGTTCAACTCCGTTCGCACACAGTTTGAGCCCGTTTGGCAACATTTTCGAGAACGGAGTGAGAACTAGTTTGGTGTGATGGGGGCTTTAGCACTTTAGTACTCTATAATCACAGTACCAAGGGGGCAAAGTAGGTTTTTGAGACATGGAGTATTGTTTAAGGTCGTTAGGTATCAACGTGTTCAGGGCATCTCCTAGCACAATTTTCACGTGCACTACCTTGAAATTATGCTGCTAAAAAATGGCGGCCATTATGAAAAATGGCCGCTATGCTATACTTGTTGATCGATTTGGGGGATTTCTATTTAAGAGAACCTCATATTATCAAGTGTGATGTGTCATATGAAAGGAAATGAAATATCCCATATGATCATTCTCCCATTCAATAGGTATAAAAAAATAATTGCATAACAATTTTGAGCCAAAAATTTGAATTTTACCCTTGTCCCAAAAATATGAATTGCCCCAAAATACATAATTCTCCATGTTTAGAGAGTTATGATAACAACTGACTTGGAACTTTCCAAAAAATCTGTTCATAATCCAAATTCTGAGTTCATTGCTTTTCTAACAAAAAAGTGTTATCACTCTAACGATGACACTTTGATATTAGCTAAAATGGTTGCTAATGGCTGTCTTCTACTGAGCAACGCTAAAATAGTGAGATGAGAAATAGAGTATATCTTGAGTAGATGCTATCATCAAGCAGATGACTATGTTGATGGTAGGTATTGTGATATCAGATGATGCTATTGTCTTCATATTTTATTGATATAACTTTCTTTGTAAACATGCCTGGCAACCAATATATCAATGTGTTATCAGAAACCAAATTAGACTATCGGTCAAATAATACAAATAATAAGACCTGATTCCAAGTGACAGACACGATTTGCAGTCGAATTATTGTGAACAGTAGTTCACCTACTAGTCCACCTATATACGCCTAGGCCTACACCTACGAATTCACCTACGCCTACACCTACAATTTTGCCTACACCTATAGTGTCCAATTTCCCAATGAGAGCACACTCCTAAGAGTCTTTATAATAGCCCACCACTCACCTGCACCTAGCAGAGTGATCTCCTGTTTGAAGTATTCATGATTCGTGGTGTAGCTTTCTGTTCTTTGGTTGACTCCAGTCCCCGCGGACTCTTTCCAATGTGTGTATGACACACCGACGTATTTCATTTGAATACCTGCAGTGTAAGAAGAAGAAAAGAAAATGTAAAAGAGATCTATAGTAGAATTTATGCTTGAACATGTTAGATTATTAATAAAAAGGAAAGAACAACAAAATCGAACAAGTACGCCAAAGTACTCCTCAGGTTCATTCAAACATTGTTTGTAAATTAATAAGGTAGCATACTAGCATTACCATTTGCAAATTTTAACTCTCTAACTCTCTAACGTACACATATCACATACGTACGGCTCGGTGTAAAAATATCAGAGGTAAAAATGTCAGAGGTAACAATGTCAGAGGTAACAATGTCAGTGGTAAAAATGTCAGAAGTAACAATGTAAGAGGTAATAATGTTAGAGGTAAATATGTCAGAGGTAAAAATGTAGGGGTACAAGTAGGAATGTTTATTTAGGAGTTCACCAACACAGAACGTTTGGCGTGCACATCAGATAGGAAGCGAAGTGACAGACTATTTTTATCCCGACTTTTGTTGTATCAAATGGTTTGAACAGGGGTGTAAAAATACTAAGTCAAACCAGTAGAAACCTTTACAAACCAGTAGAGTCTAATGGTTTTGAAGACCAGTATAATCCTATAGAAACAAGTAGGATCTAATGGTTTGAACATGGGTGTAAAAATAATAAGTCAAACCCGTAGAAACCTATTAAGTCTTATCATTCCACAGGGCTACTACCCATTGTGCCAGCCCCAAATCCCTCCGTGCAGGGGCGGCGATCCCGGGGGGACGGGGGGGGGGGGGACACGTCCCCCCCCCCTCAATTTTTTCAGGGGGATCGTCCCCCCCCCCCCCGGAAAATTTGAAAAAGTGCCCCAAAAAATGTATAGCAAATAAAGACTAAAGACTGCAACACACTTTTAGGCTCTGGAGGGCCCAATAGTGTATCGTTTAGCCTAATAAAAATGCAAAATCTTCTAGCTCGGTCGATCAGTGCTACAAAAAATGAATATTCCGCTTAATTGCTCTTTTAAGGAGTCCCTTCCTGCCGGTTATAAAGATATTGTCGCCTAACGGGAAATGGTGTACATCTTTCTAAAAACATTAATCATTACATGAATAATTTTCACTTACGTTCTGAAAAAGTACTGTAATGTACAAGCGACCTTTAGAGGACAAATACTTGCTTACATTCCTGAGGTTCTTTGGGAGTTAATTAGGCTTGTAATAAACATGAGAAATATGCGCGTATGCGTAAATTACATGGACAAGAAACATAAAGCGGGTTAATAAACTTATCATTTTAGACTTGCCGTGATTTAATGTGGATAGTTCTATAAATCTTTATTTCACCTGCATAAGACATAAGATCGAAGTAAAATGGATATCAGAATTTTTTTCAAGAAGGATAGTAAACGCCAGAAAAGTTATGAAACAGAACTGGATGATGTAGGAGAGATCGAAAATGCATGTGAAACGACAGGACAGCCATCAGAAGATGTACTTCGAAAGGAAGGAAATACACAGAGTCGGAGTAGTGCTAGTGTAAGCGAAACAGAAACTGATGAGGACAGTATCCCCACAGTAAGTGAAGCAGGCCCAAGTTGTGCGGCTCACCCGAGTGTTCAAGAGACCGGTAGGCATTTTTTTGGTGACCATGATACCCCGAACCATGAAAAATCGTCATCAATTCCGCCCAAAAAGACAAATCTAGAACATTGTGTTTCCAAAAGCACTGGTATAACAGGTTTCCATGGTTACACTTTTCGCCACAATTACAAGGAGTAATTTGCTTTCAATGCTCTAGTGCTATCAAGCGAGGTCTGATGAAGACTGAGAGATGTGAGCCAACATTTACTACTATTGGATTCAGGAACTGGAAAAAAGCGTTGGAAAAGTTTTCAGCACATCAAGCCTCAGTATTCCATAGGCAAGCAGTATTCAAGATATCTCAGCAAGATAAAGGAGTGAACGTGGCACAACAACTCAGCAAGCAAAATTGTAAACAACAAGAACTGAACAGGAAAAGTTTCTTGGCAGTTGTACAGGCAGTAAGGTACTTATTGCGACAAGGAATGCCTTTCCGTGGGCATGCAGATACCGAAGGAAATCTGCAACAGTTACTACTGATGCAAGCAGAATTAGATCCTGAACTGAGGCAGTGGCTTCGGCGGTCGACGACGTTCACATCACACGAATGCATTGAGGGGATCCAGAATATCTTCTCCCATACAATCCTCCGGGCTATTATCGCGGACATCAAGGACTCCCAACAATACGCAGTAATTCTTGATGGAACCCAGGATATAAAAATGAAAGAACAAGAATCAGTATGCATTCGACATGTTGACCAAAATTTTGAAGTACATGAGGACTTTGTAGGATTCTACGAGTAGCAGGAGACAACGGGAGCCGCTTTGGCAAGTACAGTAAAGGATGCCTTACTACGACTTGGACTCGACCTCACATGTTTGAGAGGACAAACATATGATGGAGCCACCAATATGGCCGGGAAATTCAATGGATGTCAGGCAATTCTGCGGGCGGAATATCCACTTTGTCTCCACTTTCACTGTGCAGCACATTGTGTGAACTTGGTATCTCAACATGCTTGCCAAGCAGATGCATTTCTCACTGATGCATTGCAACTAGTTCAAGATCTGGGGAACTTCTACAAGAGAAGTGGGAAATTCAACAAGCTATTTTCTAGCATTTGTGGAGATTCTGTTCCTGCTGCTTCTACCACCATAAAACCGCTGTGTCCAACAAGATGGCTATACAGATATGCAGCCGTATCTTCTGTGCTTTCCAACTACGAAGCCATTCTCAAGAGCTTGTACGAGTTTGGCGAGAAAACTGGCGACGGCAAAGAGAGGAATCTGTACGATAATCTTAAATCTGGAGTGACCTATCTAGCGCTCTCTGTAGCAATGAAGGTCACAGGTCCCCTTCATGAATTGAACAGAGTCCTTCAGGCAGAAAAGCAAACAGTGTCAGGGATGCTGGGAAATGCTAAAACAGTAGAAGAATCACTAAAACAGTTCAGATCTGAGAAGGAGTTCTCTGAAATCTTTCGGCAAGCACAAGCAAAGGTGGATGAATTAGATCTCGATCCAATCAAGATTCCAAGAATGAGAAGACCACCAAAGAGATACAGCGGCCCTGCACCATGTCACCATGCAAGTACACTCGAAGATCACTACCGAAAATCGTACTTTGCTGTCATTGATGCAGCTACCCAGCAACTTGGGGATCGTCTAAATACATCGGGCTTGGTCGTCTACCAGGAACTAGAAAACTTTCTCTTGTCGGGAGCAGGCGCGTACACAAGGGGGGGGGGGGGGTTAGGGGGTTAGGGGGTAACCCCCCCCCCCCCCCCCTTTGGTAATTTTTTGTGTGTAAACCCCCCCCCCATATGGAAACGTTGTATCATCCGCTCAATCTGACTTGCGTGCATAGAACAATAAGCATTTTTCCATGAAAAAGTGAAGTTTTCTAAAATGTGCGTGTCTTTCCAGCATTGGGGCGCCCGGAAGTCACTCGGGTAACATTTCATAAAGTATAATATTAAAAGACCATATGCAAATTTTCTGTACTTTCGTCGGAAAAAATACATTTATCCAGCACAATGACGACTCTTTTTGCGTTGAAGAATAACAAATAGCGAGTTTCAATCACACTTTGGCCGCTCTCGCAAGCTCTCACTCGTTTCACTTTGGTCAAGCGACTTTGGGGCAAGCGGTTAATGAAAATACTAATCGTTAGCTTTCTTTTGGCATTAAACTTGTTTTGATTGATTGTATAATTATGTCGGAATAAAGGAAACAAAAAGGCTCGACCAATAATTTATCAGCGTCTGAATCGACCTTTTGACCTTGAATTCCCTGATGCAAGCGCACTAATGAGTTCATCTTCGCTAAATCGGTGTCTTTTATCGTAAAATGCGACACTTTCACAATGTTTATATATTTTTTTTAATTACTAGTAAGATATAACATATTTTTTCTGATATTACTGAAGTTTTGGGTTTTATTTAATGAGTAATTTTAAAATAAGAGCCATTTTACTGTTTTAATTTACTGGATCGTACCATTAAAGTCGCAGGGTAGAAAGATGCATTTCCAACCGCGCCAAATTTAATTTACGTTCCGACATTCTGTTAAATGTGTTCGAGTTGTTAGGAATCCACTGCTTTCTGCTCCAACAAACATTCACATGCGGAGTCGTTTATCAATTAAATTATTCAAATTTATGGATGCTTCCTAGCTTCCCAGGTGTTCGTGTTGCTGTTGAAGCATTTTTATTCACCTGCTATCATTCTTTGTACTCCAATTGCCAGAACGCAAATTTCATTTTTGTTTTATAGTTTCATCGGAGTCGTTTATCAACTATGTATTCAAATTTATGAATGCTTCCTCCCCAGGTGTTTGTGATGTTTAATGCATTTCAATTCACCTGTTATTATTCTTTGTACTCCAATTGTTAGAATACAAAATGCATTTTGTTTTTATAGTTGTATGCAATAAGTAAGTCAATAAAAGAGTATGTTCTGCACAATAAAAACAATGTGTGTCCCTATTGTACAATGTGATGTGTCCCCTCATTTTGTAATAGTTAATTTACCCATTCACATAATGGAACTACCTGCCCGGTGAAGCCAGTGGCCCGTGACTCCTGAGCACTCAACACCGTGTGGGAGTCAGTTTGTGGTGAACTTCTTTTATGAGACAAATCAAAGCAAACGTTTCCATATGCTAAATTTCTCTAAACCCCCCCCCCTTTTGGATTTCCTTTTTTTTTGACAGACGAGTTGGACGTATTGTGGTTGTGTTTTGGTTGACCTAAAAAAGCTGACCTTACCCCCCCCCCCCCTCCCCCCAATGGAGCAAAATGTCAAATTTTCAAATTTCGAGACCAAAAAAAAAAAAAAAAAGTGTCCTCTTACCCCCCCCCCCCCTCCCCCCCCCCCCCTTATTCAGCGGTCGGCTGAGTCGTTGCGATTTTTTTTTTGATAAAAAAAAAAGAGAAAAAAGTGACCTCTTACCCCCCCCCCCCCCCCCCCCCCCCCCCCCCCCCCCCCGCTTATTCAGCGGCTGGCTGAGTCGTTGCGAAATTTTCGGCCCGATTTATAAATGTTAACCCCCCCCCCCCCCTTGAAAAAATCCTGCGTACGCGCCTGGTCGGGAGGATTGGTAAATGAGCAAGTTATCAGCAGGTATCCAGAACTTGATGTAGAGCATCTCAAAGTCCAAGTTAAGATGTTCCACATGAACTACAAGCCCACAACACTCTTCGAGGTCAAAGAAGCTCTTCGCTCAATGTCAGTAGTTCGTCTGAACTCAGCAACCATCTGCCATGTGCACATACAAGCATCGACTGGATGAGATCGACCTACGCCTTATTTGTAAGGAATTCATAGGCAGAACGGAAACCCGACGAAATGCTTTCGGACATTAATAATAGACTTGGTAAGTCATTTGCCACCCTCTATGAAATAGATGTCAGACTTTTGCAGATTATTGGATAGATACAGATTTCTTTTGAAAATGTAACTCACTTGGCATAGAAAATGTAAAACCAGTTGGTTTTGTTTTTGTTTTTATTTTATTTATTTTTGTTTTGGCGGCAAAAATGACATTTTGCATGTTACAGGTATTCCGTAATATTTTTTGTTTTTAATAGTTCACTACCACATAGTCTCTATATTTGCCATTTAGACACCCATAGCGATATAAATATTCA